ATATAAAAAAAATAAATTAGCAAAAAAAAAAGTCTTCACTTTGAAATATTTGACTTTTAAAAACATTTCGGGAGGGGTCACAACCCCCAAACCCCACTAATGGTTGCGCCATTTCTTTCTTGAGTTCTAATCAAGTACATTAAAAGGATTGAAAAAATTCTTCAAGAGTTTGTGTTAAAAAGGATAATAATAAAAATTTAACTCGGTAATAATAGGTACCTAAGTGGGAAACCAACTTAGCTCTAACATAAACTAATAAGATGGATCTGATATCCAACCCAAGCAGTATAGTGATTTGAAACCTAAACATTTTCCGTGTGTGATTCAACCTTGAAAGTTTTATTACAACTTTTATTTTAAATTATGAAAGCTAGAAAATAGCTAATTGAAAAGAGAAAGAAAATGTGAAATTTAAAAATTAATCAATAAGTACTGATAAAAAAACAACCAATTTTAGCTAGATTTTTCTTAAGCAACGTAGATCTCCAAGACTGAAGAATGGATTTTAATATTTAGGGTCTTGTTTGATTCAAATTGGCTAGATAAAGTGCAATGGAGAGTTTCAGAACTTAATTTTTAATAGTTAATTCACTACAAAACTATCCTTGTAAATCATAAGAACATAAAGACATTAATTGTACATAAAAACTTAGTAATAAAGGTGAAAATTTGTTTAAAATGGCTAAAAAAGTATAAATTGAGATTCTCGTTGAGATTTTTAAAAACAATACCTACAACTTAAGAGGTCAACATTTTAGAAATAGAGCACTAAAATTTGAAGAACAAAAATGTCTGATTTGGAAAATTTTCCATTTTGAGCAGTGAATTGTGGAAAAAAAACCCATTGTCCAAAGTACAATCTGGTTTAATCATTTTGTAATAAAATATAATGATATAAACATAATAATTTCCAAAATTTAAAAATTAATTTAAGTACAGTGAAACCTCCTTTAAYGGACACCTCTCAATAGCGGACACCTCCGAATAACGGACGGAATTTTGGGAACGGTGAAATGTGTACTCACTGTATTTCCCCTCTTAATAGCRGRYACCTCCAAATAGCGGACGACATTTAAGCGACCGAGAGTGTCCGGTATTTAGAGGTTTCACTGTATACATTACATTCTGATCTCTACCAATCAAGTATTTTCATGAAGTATAAAGGATAGAAGATAATATTTTTTTAAGATTTATTGACTGCACAAAAATAATTGGATTTATAAATCATATTATGAAAGAAATAAGTTAGAACATAAATTAGGAATACATATTTTAAAAATAACAAATAAATTATGTAGCTAATAAAAATAATTAAGTTTATCTGAAATTTCAGTWATCGGAATACAGAACTAACATAACCAAAACATGAGAGCTGATCAAGATAAAATAAATTACTTAATTAAATAGAATTAAATAACTTAAMGACTTTTGTWGTAATCCATTCTGTATGTATGTTTGTTACATGTTCTCATTTAAGAAAACAAAAGACCTTTTATCCCTATTTAGAGCTTTGTTTATTTTTTTTTTTTTCAAGGATATTTAATTAATATTATAAAACAAATTAAACAAATCTCATATTTTGTTAAAACTATATAAGGACCATGAATGAAGCTTCCAATCAATTTATGCTACGGAAAACCAGATATTATCAAATATTCCTTCTTAACAACTACCTCCTCAGGTGAAATAGTCTGGTTCTATCAAAAACACAGATTAGTTATCCGTTTTTCTTTCCATTTAGGTAAAAAAATATACAAAATATAGTCTACTAACAGTAAGAGCTACATTTAGAGCTATTAACATCACATCAATTTGCATCATTTTCCCAYTGTTTTTTTTTTTTTAATTTGTGGTCTACGTCTTAACATACATTGTACCAGTTAGTTAGTATTAGTTTCAAACATTTGCTAACACCTCGGCTTGTATATCTTAATTTTAAATACCCAATACAAGACAAGCTGTACAATATTGCATAAATTTAAACCACTACTATAATAATTCCCATATTTTTCCTTAGTATTTTTATTTTTTTTTTAAAAGGTAAAAAATCTGACTTTTTAAATAAATACACATCCTTTCATTTTGAAAATATTTGAAAGAAATAATTTAAACATTCATATTAATAATTCAGAAATGATGATAGTGAAATATTCTAGTTAACAATCTAAGTATCCAAATAACTCAATAAAATAGACTGAAACTCGTTTTATATCAATTTAAAAAATATAATCTTAGTTCTAAAAAAATAAAGTACTTACGGATTTAATACAATTTGATATTACGAATAGATATAGGTAGTTATAATTTTTTGTAAATAGTACACTAATCAACAAACATACAGTATATATTGTATGATTTTAGAGCAAACTATTAAATTAAATTTTGAAATCTAAGCAAAGCAAGGAAATATATCAAATTTTTAGTATAGTTCCATTTTATATTTATCTGAACATTTATGTATTTTCAGTGCGACAAAATATAGTTCAATGTGCCAACTTGTACAAAATCAAAATATTATGCTACTATCTAACCATCGCTACATCATACAATTATTATCACCAATTTTCTTAAATTATCATTTTGGTATAGATGAAATGATGTTTGTAACTTAATTAAGTAGGCAGTGTTGCTTAAACCAGTGTTTTAACAATTCAATTCTTTATTTAAAAGCTTTGTAGATTTTAATTGAATTTTTATAGAGTATACAGATTGTAGAAGTTTCTTTTACAATTCTTAATGACAGAAATCAAAATTTATCTATTTTAAAAGATGAACACAATTCACATAAAAAATCATAATGTCTAATAATTGCCATTAAAATATATGTTATGAAATAATGATAACATTAACAAATATTAATAATCTTAATGATAAAATGTATTAAACTTATGATTAAGATGCGTTAATAAATTTAAAAAATAAACCATAARAATCCGTAACTTTTGGAAATACAAAATAATAATAGCAATATAAACTACCTATACTATTAAAATAATTAGTATAGAATCTATGCCAAACAAACTGAAGGTTGATGATCCAGCCTACAGCAGAAAATGGTTTAATTTAGGTAGTGTTCACATACAAAAACAATGAAATAAAGTAGCACACACTTTGTTAAATGAAGGGCAATAGTTAATAGAGGAAACTTAAACTATTTTTATTAAAAACCAATGCAGTCCATACTTAGCTCAAACTTTAACATAGATCAAGCAATTTCACTTAACTACTCAATGACTCTAACCTAAGAAAAAGGCTTTTCCAAGAAAATGATAAGAATAATATTTTTTTTATAATYTGATAACTTTTAATTTAAATATTGAAATAGACATTCCACAATTACTATGGATAGTTTGTGATTGTGAACTTTGTAATAATCAATCTTATATTAATAATTATGTAAATTAAATTAAAAAACTTCAGTATAAGTTATTAAATACTTGGCCTTTTTAAAGCAATAAATATTTTTAGTATCACAATAATTACATACTTAAATCCCAAGTGAATTAACTTTTTTATTCTAATTCATTTATTAAACTTGCTTAAATTGATATTTTTATTTTTAAGCTATTGATAACTGACCTAAAAAGTACTATTATTTAACTATAAACATTTTATCTACATATTTAGTCACTTTAATAAATAAATGAATATTCAAATAAAAATTATGTACAGAACAAATATTAGCCATAGCCATAGCCCCTCTTAAAACAAATAGTAATTAAATCACAAACATAATATTTTGCAATATTCAAATCAATGAAAATAAAACATTTTCTAAAATCCTAACACATAACATTGCTTTATATAATATTTCTTACCTGGATATCTGCATTGCTTCAGGAGGACCTTTAAGACCRCCAGAATCTTCATTTAGCAAAACTTTTAAGCAATTCAATAGCTGCATGGGATCAATTGGTGGCTGAAATAAAAAATATTCATGATTTAATAATTTATTATAAATCAAATTTTAAAGGTTCTATACTAATATTGATCGATGAAAAGCTATAATATAATATCCATAATAAATACAAWTTTTTTTTATAAGTTTATTTTTGCCTAATTATTTTCCATACCTTTAAACATGAATATTTATCAATCATTTAAAAGAATTTTAAATATTATTGATCTTTGAAAAATATTGGTCTAATCCAAGCGTATTGTAATTCATTAATCAAAATCTATCTATAGGTATGAACCGGGGTATGAACAATGGTCCATGAATTAAATTATAATCCATCATTATTATGTTATTAAATAAGTATTAACTACTCAAATGTATAGATGAATGAAATACTACTATGTACATTTCAATTAAAATACATTTTATTTAATTATTAGATTTCCCTTGAACATGACTAAATAGCCTATGATTAATCCATTAATGATTTTTCAAGAATTCTGCCATCAATAAACAGGACCATTTATGGGTATAGAATAAGTAAATAAATATCAATTTAATTTTGAATTTATTAGTCAATTAGTCGAGATATATAAGCAACATCTGTGATCTCAAAAGGGCAAAGCTTATATTATTTAAATTGTTAATGTTTTATAAAAACAATTATCAGTAAGTTGTGTTTCAATGAATAGATATAGTTACTAATAAAAGCTCCAACACTCATACAATATCTTAACTTAGTTAATGATGGAAGGGGGRAATAAGCTATTGCAATATCTATCTGTTATACGGAACTCTAAAAGGTTGGTAGAATTAAATATTTAATGGAAGTTTTTTTTTATATATTAAAATATTATTAATTTTATATGCATTTAACGAAATTAAAACAAATTCAGTTTAACCACATTTCTGCAAATTATACTCACAATGAACCCCACCAAACTTGAATACCTAGTAGTACACAGTGATAGATAGAAAAGAATGATTTGTACATGAAAGTGTAGGAATAAAAATTCTCAGTTTATTACGTGAAAATGTATACGTCACCAGCCTCTATTAATAATAATGATCGCAAGTACGTCAACGAACGTGAGCGAGTGACGTATTACGTAACGATAACAAAGTACGTCGTCGGAACATGGCTACCAAGTAAAAAATAAAATGAAATACGAAAATTTAAGACCTAAAATTCATYGCCAAACATCATATTATTTTTGTTTTTACTTCTTTTTGTACAAGGAGTGGCTAACCCGTTTCGGGTATTTTAGCTCGGATTCGTAGTGAAAAGGATACAAAGGAATACATTAGCAAATAAATAAAAACACAATTAAAGCTATCACTGTAGTACCGTTTTTGTACAACGTTAATTATATCTTAACTTTCTTAAACTGGTTAGGCTAGCAATAGTGTTCCATTGCAACCGTAATACACAGTCATTTCAACCAAAGATCAAATAATTTTATAGGGCAAGTCAATATAAGGCCCGTGAACTTACCATGGTGTTTTTTGTTGTGCGTCTCTGAACGTACAAATATGATTTATACAATGGTTTGGCACAAATTCTTTCTTTCTCTTTCACAAATATAAGTGTCGTAATTTAAAAATACTAAAAGTCGATAAAACGTATCTGCGTTTTTTTTTTTTTTTTAATGTTTTCCTGTCTATAGGAAGGCAATAAAATTAAAAATAAAATTAATTTAAAAACGATCGTCCCGACGGCGAGTGGATGGTGATTGGCGTGCAATGTTAGTGGCGTACGTAGAGGACAAGTTCTTTACAGCTCGACACTTCTTGTTGACGCTAATCCACGTGAATGTGAATCCGTATTGCGTGATTAAAATTTCCCTGATAAACAGCACAAAATGGCGGATCGAATTTAACGACATTGATTGGTCGGCGCGTTGCCGCCGTGGTAATAATAAAATAATTCTGTCATCGCTGCTCTCTGCGTGTCTACGTCGGTGCCTGTGGCCTTCATTTGAAACAGTTTTTTTGATTCTAATTCTTCTGCTGCCACTCCATCAACAATATTTCGGAGAAAAAAAAAC